ATTTCTGATCGTTTCGTAGCATTTTTGGTCACCATTTTGAAAAAATTTTCGTTGTCTTCATAGGTGTAGAGTGGGTCCCATGAGTGAACCATGTTGTAAAAAAAACTCAAAACATTTTTGAACCCTTTCAGGCCAATTTTAGTTGCATTTCCTCTGCTACCACCTGACCAGGAGCATTTACATAAGAAATCTCTGCGAAATATAATATCTAGCAACTTATAGGCACAATTGATTCCTTTTCCAGCTGATCTTGTACATAAGAATTCAAAGCGTTGTTCTAAAAGACTTTTTTCCACATTGTCAGATAATTTACATTCCAATTCTTCCAATTCCTTAACATTGGCCAAGGGTTTGATATAAAAACTTTCTTTCTCAAAAGCGTTAGCATCGCCAAGAGAAACAACAGTTTCTCTTTTGTTTTGTTGCCTTAGTCTTGTAAAGGAATCTTCTACAAGAACCACTAAATTTGAAATCTGTTTACAATTTATTTCTTCTTTATCCAACACACATTGTTGCATTTTTTGCATGACGCATTGATTTTGCAGAATCACATTTTGATTTTCTAATATTTTATTTTGATTTTTCAATATTTCTTCAAAAATATTTGTATCAATTTGTACGTTTTGAAGATCTGTAATGGTATTTGGTAGCTCACTCGTCGATATTATATACTCAATTTCTCCGGGCGCTGCAGCGGTTGAAGTACTCGTACGTGGCGCAGGTATTTCCTCCTCTGTGCCGCGATTGAGCAAAATCTGAAACAAAAAATATTTCTATTCGACTATCCAAATTTTATAAACAAGCTTCGGTCTTAATGACTGTAACGATTTTGTTCCTTTATAAGGACATCCGGGCTTACGAGGATAGATTATTATTTAAATCAAATACATTACTAGATCATCTTTCATTTTGTTAGTATTATGTGCAACTATTAGGTACCTAAACAGCTAAATATACTTACCAAATTTTCGGCCATCGAATTGTAGTTAGTATCTTGAATTGCGTTCAAATTAATCCCTTCATGTTCAGGAACATCTGTGTCACTTTTGTTTTCCATAAGAGTTAGTTCTTCTTCAGCTTCTCGATATGTTTGAAATGACGACCGCTTGACAGTACATTTCATAGATACCCATCCTTGAAGTGGTCTGGAATCTCCGTTAGTAACTAACTTTCTGGCACCTATTTTAGGTAATCGTAACACACCGTTATATTCCCAGTAAGCAGGAACTATAGTCAACTTTGGTTGTTGTTTTTCAATCGTTTGAACAATTTTGAATGGCATGATTTGCTCCTGGCACTGAAAAATAAAATATTTCATTTAATTACTTATAACTTTCAACAACACTAACACAATGAACTTATCACTAACATATCAAACGCACATATATTGCGGAAAAATAGTTACCTCTACAAAGAAATGATTAGTTTTTATTTTATTTTTAAAGAATCTTCGTTCTAATTAACAAGTAATTACACTTCTATCTCTGCGAAACGTTGTCCTCGTGTGCCAAAGTAACCGCACGTCCGTCGCCGCGTCGTCGGCACGCTTCAAACTTTTGTTATTGTTTATATGAATGTGATCGCGTTACATTTCGTTTTATCTTGTTAGAAAGAAAAGGATAGCAAGCATAGCGGCGACTGGGATGTCTTTATCAGCAAACAAAAAAAAAGAGTTATGTTTTTAGGGTTCATGAAGTTATGTAAGTACCTATGTTTAGTATTACTTTTTAGTAAAGTTCTAGTTATGGCAGTGGTATATACATCGACTACCTAAGTAATTCTAATTATGTAGTAGTCATCATAATCGTAACTAGTTAAAATTATTGATTAAATATATTTATAACTAACAACAAATTATAATTAACATTAATAAATATATTATACTATATATTATTATTAATTGATATTAATTATAGTAATTTTAACTAGTTATGATTTTGATGACTACTAAATAATAAGAATTACTTAGTCGATGTACCTAAGTATAAAAGCGTAAAACTTGAATGTGACTTATATATTTTTATTGTTAATTGTACATACATACACATACTATTTATGTGTCGTATCGTATGACGATCAAACTGTTACGCGTTACGCGCGACATTTATTATTTATCAAACGAATCAATTATTTCTTTACCGGTACTAGATAGGTGTCACTACCTAACCGAGAGAGCTAAAAAAAAATTTTAGTAGGTAAGTATATAATCAAACTTTAACCTAATAAAAGAAATAAATACCATACATAAATTAAAGTATTCCGTTTAATCCCAATTAAGCAATAGTTTGCAATAAATTCATGGGTTTTAATGTATCGAAATAACTATCGAGGATCTCCAATAGGCTGACTAAAAGTGTAGTTACTATACCGCTAGTCAGATTAAGGTAACTATTTCATACTTTGTACAGACATAAGAAAGCTATGAGCTGATCAACGGTTGCCATAGATACCCGTGTGCAGTCTATAGAATTATAACAGCTGAAACAAAGAGCCAGAGCTGCTTTACAAACGGCAGCCATTGTGTCCGATCTTGATAGTAATCGGATGATAAAATAATGTATGTTTTCTGCAATTTAAAAGCTTTTGGCTTTTTATTATGAGCTGTTTTAGCTATAAGTTTATAAATATTAATTTTACGAGTCACAAATAATCAAATTGTAGACATAAAGTGATTTCACAAAAATTTTCAGCTCACAATTTTCTTTCGATTATATCTTAAATAGGCGTTATATGAAGGGCGCGTGAAAAATGAGATGTAATTTAATATATACATTTACAGTAAAACTTTCTCCGCACTTAGAACATATAGTATAATAAGAAAATCGCACTATACTTACCTTACAATATAATTTCCAATTCCAGCAATTATAGCTTCCACGCGCACGCCATAACAATTTATAAAATACTAAGACATTTTTGACATTTCATTTTAATTTATTTTTTTCTTTTGCCACTATCCAGCCCCAATGAAACTTACCAATGGATAAAAGCTTGATAGCGGCTGAAAAGTAGAGAATAAGCTGCACAATTAAGCTGGTTTAGCCTAAATGCAGCTCTTTTACAAGACGTAGACAGCCTTTAAGCAGACATTCATCAGCCCAAGGCTGGTTAATTTGGGGCCCATTTTGGAATTACAAGGGTTGTATAGCGGTTTAATCAGCCTTTGTGCAGCTTGGCTAAATCAGCCTTAGGTTCAAAATTTATCTTCTATGCAGCTTTTGTGCAGCTCATCTGTGTTACTTGGGGTGGAACTACCTTGGGAACTACCCAGCGGTTATCAATCACTATTCCATTAATGTCAATAGTAAATCCACCTTTGACTGAAGAACGTCTTCTATATTGCCGGTAGCCGTCGTCCCTGGTTTGTGTTTCACTGAGTAAAGGCCTGGGATACCTCTCAGAGCAATTTCTGTTTTGCATACAAGGTGACTTATAATTAAAATTTTCGCATGGCCCATGTATCATAATAGTGCTCTAGTGACGATTGCAATAATAGTGCCACCAGACCCAGCCAGCAGTAGAAGAAGATGCGGATGTTAAACGACCACGACGACAATGAAGAAACATAAATTTATTTTTATCTGTTTGCAATTTTTTATTTTTGTCCGTGTATGCACGTATTTTAATTTTTAGAGTTCCTTACCTCAATCGGCAAAAACGGAACCCTTAGGTATAGAACCACTTGATTGTCAGTCTTTTACAGTCAATTTGATTCGAATCTACTAGATCGATCGATAAGGGTAAACCTTTTTTTTCATTTAGCTCTAATAAGTGTTGAAATATTATGAAATTGTATTCCAAAGCACAAAACAATCATTAATTAACTAAATCAAACCAAATTTTACCCATCAGGGTTTGAATGTTATTTTAGAAGTTTTGACAATAATGGGCAGCTTTCACCCTTATAAAATAAAAAGCGCCCATCGAAATATAGACTTTGAATTAGAAGATGAGTCTAATAGTACAGTCAATCTGTAGGTTGAGTGGTGAAAAAAAAACCTAAAGGGTAAGTCTTGTTTTTTCTGTTGCCAAATGACGTCAGTAAGACACCTTGGCGATGGGCATGTTCAACTCGTAGGCGTTTTTTTAAAAACTCAAAAAAAACGTCAAAATTTTTTTGAAACGCATTTTTCTTGTTTTGTATGCATTTTAGAAACTTTTTTTTCGACCATAATGGTAGAGGGCGTTGAGTACTACAATTTATGTCAGTGTTGCAATCTCGTACAACAAAAAATGCGCATTGTAGGTGGCGCTATTAAAATGTGCACTGCAAATGTGTACTTGAACTGCCCAAAACCGCTCTATTGGATTTTTCATACCTGCGCAATTTATAACTTGAAAACGGTAAGTAATACAAAAAAATTGTTTATATAAAAGTTGTTGGTAATTATGTACGAAACAACTTTGCCATTTAAAGTTTTCCATTGAAATGATATTTTCAGGGTGAAAAAGTGAAAAAACCCTTTTTTTGAGACTTTAGTGCCACTTACAATGCGCATTTTTTGTTGTACGAGATTGCAACAATAACATAAATTGTAGCACTCAACGCCCTCTACAATTATGGTCGAAAAAAAAGTTTCTAAAATGCATACAAAACAAGAAAAATGCGTTTCAAAAAATTTATGACGGTTTTTTTGAGTTTTTCAAAACACGCCTACGAGTTGAACATGCCCATCGCCAAGGTGGCTTACTGACGTCATTTGGCAACAGAAAAAACAAGACTTACCCTTTAGGTTTTTTTTTCACTGAAACGATATTTTTTTCGACAGATTGACTGTACTATAATTCCAAACATTTATGGAAGTCGATGCTGGCCGAAATATGAAATTACAAAGTTTTTTGAGCTTTATTTCCTGGACTATGCTCAGAATAAAGGTGTTTCCAAGTCTCGGGAAGCCCAGCCTAACTTACTGGCTGCTGCCAGTAAGTTAGGCTGGGCTAGGTTTTTGTTCCTGCTGGAACAAAAAATAAATAAATGGGGTCGAACGTGAAAAAAAAACTACTTTTTATCATTTAATAATAAATTATTACATTAAAAAAAACAGCTAGCTAGTTTGTATACATTGGTTAGCCCGATCGTTTACATTGATTTTTTGTATGTAAAAGTGTTTCATTAGTATAATTTAAGGAATAATATTACAGTGATATTCGTAAAGGTTATAAGATCAAAAAAATGGTTTAAAATACTAATTTTCAAGTCAAGCTTAAGGGCCTGCACTGCGTTAAGTGGGAGCACGGATCAGACGTCCGCTCCGCGTGCAGTTTCATTTTATTTTATAGAACAGCTCTGCGACGGGAGACTAGCCTCACGCAGTCACGTAGAGGACGTCCGCTCCGTGTTCCCGCTTAACGCAGCGCAGGCCCTAAATATAATTAGAACCTCCTGTGCTCATGAAATATTGATTACACTCCAGCTAAGATCGAAGTGGGATCTTCCACGCCGGCCTTTACTTTCCTGAGGAACATGACTGCTTCGCGGCCGTCTATCAGTCTGTGGTCGTAGGAGAGCGCTAGGTACATCATGGGTCTGATTTCAACCTGAAAAAAAGGTTACGTTTATTAATTAGGCAGCAAAGACCGAAGCATATATATGCGCATCGATCGCTGGTAGGACTTGAACAAAAATACCTATTTTCTTCTATGTTCTGCGGGCCATACAGCCATGCGTGTATAGCCCGCCTAAAGGTAAGTGGTCACCATTTAGCCTATAGACGTTTGTAATACCAAAAATATCACTCGCATCGCTGCCTGCCCTGAAAAATCCCCTTGAAGCCCTTTTATGTTTATGCAGGCGAACGAGTTGGCAGTCCACCTGATGGCAAGTGGTTACTGCCGCCCATGGTCACTTGCAGCAACAAGGGTACCCACACACACAGGGGCGTATTAGCCCTAGGGCCAAGAGGACCATTGCCCGGGGCGCGACTGCGAGGAGCGGCTGCAAGAGCTGCAAAGGGCGACGGCAAAAGCATATAAATGCATTCGAGACTGACTTTTATTTTGATGATTAAAAAATGCATGAACTGCACATCGTAAGTGGCCTAGGGCGCCAGATTTTTAAATACGCCCCTGCCAACACACCGTTGCCGATTCTGAAGGAAAATGTTCACCCGCCTTTTCAAGACCGCCTTATTACAGGTCTATGAGAATGGAAAGCTTACCTTTCCCGCGATAGCCACGGGTCTCTGGAATATGGCGTGCATGCCCAAGATGGCCGACTGTGGCAGGTTGATGATGGGCATGGACAGCAGCGAGCCGAACACGCCGCCGTTGCTGATCGTAAACGTGCCTCCCTGCATGTCCGCCGGAGTCAGCTTACCTATGAATAGGAAAAACAAGTTTTTTTTTTATATATTATAGGGGGCATACGAGCGGACGGCTCACCTGATGGTAAGTGATAACTGAGGACGCCACGCTCACGCCACCACTTTATTATAAAGTATTGTACGTTATTTCAGGTAATTGTACTCTATACTTTATGCCAACAATAAAGTACGCGAAAATACTTTATTTAATGTGATTTCATTATTTGGGGATTAATTTTACATAAAACATACAATAAGAGGATAGGATGAATTTTTGCGTAAAACGGAACAACAGTACGTATAATGTCACCCTTAGCTCATTCCTGCAACATTGTCGCGGCTGTATGGCTTTGTACAATGGCCTTTCCCATTGCGGATAAGAATTACAGATTTTTAGTAGCCACAAATTATTCATTAAAAGTTGCTATACGCAACGTAAAATATATTTTTAAGCTTACTAATAAAGTGGAATAAAAAGTACTTTATTTTGGACACAATGTACTTTTATTTCTACCTTTGTACTTTATTTGGACATAAAAAAGGTGGCAACCCTACCCATCCCCTACCTCACGGGGCCAAGAACCTTACTCATCGACAGAAACACAACACCATCTAAAAGCAATGCTATTTCACTGTTCTTCTGTAAGGTGGGAGTGACTTTCCCGGATGGGCGTTCAGAAAATCCGAGTATAACTGTTAAAAAACCAGGAAGGAATATAATAAAACTTCAAACCATCTCTGGCCTTCGCAGCAAGCGCGTTGATTGACAGCTCTATCCGCGGGTAGTCCATCGAGTCGACGTTCCGTACAACTGGCACCACAAGCCCCCGTGGTGTCGCCACCGCCACCGAAATGTCTACGTAATCCCTGAGAAATGACGAATAGGAAACAGATAATATTAAAAATAGATGTCTGTGTGTCTGATACATTATATTTTTTGTTTGTTATTAATAAATAACATGCTCTGCTAACAGGATATCAACGCTGATGCGACTGTCGTAGTACCAGTTTTAGCTGAGACAGGATCCTGATTCACCCTCTTTGTTACGTTTATTTCTTTCTTTAAGTATGTTATCATTTCTATAATTTGGTCCACTGATTCAACTAACATAGGTCAGTATGCAGATAAATGGTAAATTATCCCATGCAAACAAAGATGCGAATATCTTTATAACTATTTATGAGATATGAGCTAAAGCTTGTCAACTACACTGCATTAGGTAACTAACTGCTTTCGGGTTCCGAATCTTCTCTTCCGGATAGACGTAGCACAATTATAAGGGTCCGTTACCCAGTTGTGCTGCGTCCATCTGGAAGACTTGTGTTATATCCCCGAGTTTCTTCATATTTTAAAAACAGCCAAAAAGGGCGAAAGGAAAAGCCTGACGATTTAAAAACAAAAATATTTATTTATCATATTAGGGCGGTAAGTTGATTATAGCAGCTGATATTGAAAGTATATTCATTCTACAAAAAAGAGCTGTGAGATCTATTTATCAATTGAGTAGCCGAAAACCTCTTAGAGAAAAATTTAAAGAAATTGACATTTTGACTGGTGCTTCTCAATTCATTTACAATTGTTTACTCCTTGTTAAAAATAATGTCAATTTGTATACCAAACACAGTAACGTGCATAATTTTAACACAAGGAATAGAAATAAGCTTGCATTGCCACCCTACAGGTTACAGAAGGTTTACCGATCTTTTATGGGTCAAGGTATACATTTTTATAATAAAATTCCTGATACCATTCTTGAGTTACCCATAAATGAGTTCAAATGTCACATTAAAAATTGTTTACTTAAGAAAGGCTATTATACTATTAAAGAATACTTGAATGACAAAACTGCATGGCTGTAACTGCAAATTTGTTTTGTATTTGTTTGCAGTGTCGTACAGATAAATTACCTTAATTCTAAGTAACTATTTTAGTTTGGTTTGAGTGGTTATGGGTAGTAATGCTCTCTTAAAAATCTCTTCGGCGGTGTCGTGTGAGGCGGGTCGTTGCGTTCCCTACAATATGGTTGAGCGAAACGATGGTTGGTTCATGCGTCATGCTCGTGAACGGGTGCTGCCAGCGGAGATGAGTCTGCTCTATACTACTTTATTATTATAATGATAATTATTTATTTAATTTAAATTTTATTTGTAATTGTATTTATACTGTATGGCACAGCAAAAAAAAAATTTAGATGAACATTTATTATTTCTGAGATAAAGATTTAATGGTGGTGTGGATTCTGGCATGGTTCTCTAGACCTGAACTTTGGTTTTGCAGCGGTGTATCCTTGTCATTCTCTATACAGAGTGAAGGGGGGACACTGATGTTGGGTTTGGTTTTGGGTTTGGAGAGTAGTGGCAGAGTGGACACTAGTGTTTAGGTAATCACATGCATGTGTTCTACAGTTGTGTTTATAGTTTTTTATAGTAATGTACACTGGTACTTAATTTTTTTCCCCTATTTTGCTATCTAGTATCCATATGTGGTTATGAGTAGTCATGCTCTCTTAAAAATCTCTTCGGCGGTGTCGTGTGAGACGGGTCGATACGTTCCCTAAAAAATGGTTGAGCGAAGCGATGGCTGGTTCATGCGTCATGCTCGTGAACGGGTGCTGCCAGCGGAGATGAGTCTGCTCTTGCTACATTGGGTACTATTAATCGTTGTATTTAACTTTAATGGTACATTTGTTTTTATGCCTAAACAGTAGGACACAGCATTCCTAAACTTTTTTTTATTTTTAAATCTGTTTTTTATATTTATTATTTTATAGTCATAATTGTTCTATCATTTACATTTGTAATGGAAAGTGACTTCATGAGTTATCTCATATTGAAGTCATTTTTCAAATTGACGACTCTGTATATAATACAGGGAGAAAAAATCAGCCCTTGCTGAGTTTCTTGCCGGTTCTTCTCAGTATAAGGTCTCCCGCCGTAGATTTGCGAACCGATGGCGTAGCTTTTCGACATTCACAAGTGCTTGTAACAGCCTAGACTGAATAAACGATATTGAATTATGATTTTTTTTGAATATATACCGCAATACAAATCCGCACGAATGTCATACAACGTTTTGCAACACATTTGCGGGAAATCAGCATTGGCATTTCGGTTTGAAAACTATTCGAATTCGATAATGGTTCGTGCTAGGGGTACTGAGGGCCTACTCTAATTCAACGAAAACAGAAATTTCGATCTAAACTACCCACTTTTCCTACTATATTTCTGGTTCGTTTTTAATTAAAATAATATTCGTCGTTAGAATATGGATTAAGGTGTAGATTGTCTACGCGTCCTCAAAGAAAGCTTCAATTTGATAGTTTATCGTTTAAATTATACTTAATTACCTTAAATTGACAAAATTAAATTTCGTTTGAACTTCGTTATCGAAAGTTCGTTTCGGAGAAAGAGAGTAGACCCCCTATACTTAAGCCTTAATTTAAGTAATAAAACTAACTTTTTCTTATAATTAAATGGCGCCATGTGCGGTTGGTCAAAATTAGAACCACATCTATCATCACTTTTTCTTTTTAGATTGAAAGAGCTTCCAAGCAAGTTCGATAAAAAAAACCGTAAAGGATACGAACGGCGCCATGTATGGGAGCGTGCGGTGAAACGTTTTACCGCGCGTTCCGTTGTATGGCCTGTAATTAATAATTTTAAGTAAATGCATTTTTTGAGTAAATGTGTTGAAAAAAAGATTTTCAACAAAGTTTTATGCAAATTTAAAAAAGCTTTTCGTTAAAGTTATCATCATACCTGTAAATAATTTCTTCTCCTATGATGACCCCGTTGATAACCGGCTGGTCCATCAGTGCGTTGGCGCACGCTTTCAAAAAGGGTGACATGAATGACAATTTCACGCCATATTTCTTCAAGAACACCTCCAGGTTCGCTTTGCGAAATGCCATCAATTTGCTGCAAATAAAGGAAAGATGAATCTTGACGATATCATTATATCTCCACAAAACAGAGACACCCTTCTAATTTTTTATACCGTTAATTTAAATAACAGGAAAACTTTACTGTCTCCCCTCAAGGGTTCTATGCTGGACTAGGAGTGAAAGAAAAGCTTATACGCAGGTCGTGAAATTCCATCTTTAGTACAAGGCCAAAGGTTTTGTTACTTTACTAGCTCCGAATACAAATAATGAATTGTTTATCATCCATATCTTTTTGTTTGGTAAATATAATAAATGTTATAATAGGTATTTACCAAATAAAAAACGGACATGTGCTTTTCATATGCGATAGAAGTGAAACCTACAAAGGAGATTGGTCAAATTGGCCTAAATGCAAATAAAATATTGACATATACAGTAATTCTTGGCGTAATTTATACTTAATTTTACAGTCATTAGATTTTAACGGCCACCTTTAAATAATATATTAATTTTAAAAAAGGACTTCTATTTTTACCGGTTTGGAAAACATACGAATCATTTTTATTGGCTATGGGTGTAGTAACATTCACAAAGACTGATCGAGGTTGTTTATATAACATCAAAAAAAAATCTATTTTGTAAAGATTGATAAAATATATTTTTTTTTATTACATGGGTGGTATTAATATCCACAACTTTATTATCATTTTTACTACATGCAAATGTGCTAAGACAATTAATATAGATGGTAGGCGACATCATAAAGTCTATTGCCGTACATTTTTGCCAAACACCTAAATAAACACATTATAAGGTGTGATACACTAAAAATCTAAAATATGGTTATAATAAAAACATAACAAAAATAATGAAGCTGCTGAAGATATGGCTGTATAACCTACAGCTCTTAGCTTTCTTTGATTAACGAGAGTTTAAAAATTCTCTCTAATCTGTGGCTCATTCACAATCATCACACAGTTTCTGTTCGTGTTTTTAAAAACATGCACATATCTGTTATTTTACATGCTCTATATACCTGAATCTAATACATAATATCGGTAGGTACTTGGCTTGATTGCCCTATTTTCCTATATAAGTTATTTGGTTTTTATTATTCTAATACCTATGTGCCTATTTGCAAACATAACCTCAAAATCATTCAGTGTATATGGTTTATAGAAGTTCTCAGGAGTGGCCGTCGATAATATTCGTTTCTACGGTAATTTATATATAATTTCGAATGTAGGAAACAATTTTTTATGGTTATTGGTTTTTAGGCCAAACATGTCCTGTCTCCTTTGTGAACACGTAGTCCTTCATGACTAAAAGACATCACCTGTGTTAAAATTCAACTTTATAAGTCAAATTTAAATATTCTTTACTTATATTGTTTCAACAATAAATAATACCTTTATAAAAGAAAAAAAAAACAATTAAAAAAATAACCGAGTTCAGGATCGAACCTCCGATCATTTGGTTTCGACCCCAATATCGTTACCGTTCGGATATCTGTCTCTTATAGTGAATGCTAAAATTACGGTTACCTATCTTGTGTCAAATACTCTACTTCCGTTTCATCAAATCTCAAGTAACAACGATACTAAAGAAGTGTTCAATTCAAAAATTTGGGTGTTATTAAAAGTCCCTATGTAACTTCAAAACTCTGTTTGGTTATACCGATTACAAAATATTCATAATTTACCTCATATCGCATTCGTTGAAGGTAGTCAGCATGGCCGTGGTGTTCTGTGCTTCCTTTAACCTCTCGGCGATACGTTTGCGCATCTTGTTCATAGGCACAGGGTGCTCGGTTCGAGTCCCAGATATTGTCTTTGTGGGATCGCCTATTTTCAAAGCAGCAAGCTAAACAAATGCATATATAACATTAGGTTTACATCGCTATTTAAGAAATAACATGATAGGTAATATAACATCCAATACACAAATGTGCTTACGTAGCGAAATAAAAACTTCTAGTGCTTTTAGTATGTTTTGCCATGTAGAAGAAAACGCAACGGAAAGCTCACGAACAGCCGAGGAGTTTTGTTATGCAACTCTGAATCTATGACAGTCGTACTCCAAAAAGTTTAGACACTGTTTTATGATTTTAATCCTTGTTTATGCAAAATTTCTATAAAATTTTCTTAAACTCGTGTTGAACGCATCTCTAACTTTTTTGTGGTGATAAGGTATTTAGAGGGTTTTTACTTTAGTTTTAATAAAAATAAAGTTTTGGGAGTTGGTATAGGTAGCGGGCAAAATACACACATCAAAAGTGTCTAGGGATCAACATATATTTTTGCAATAACTTTTCTCCTGATTGATATTAATTAAAATTTTCTTTAAGGATTCATCAAATAAAGTGTTTTCGTTTGTCACAGTAACGATAAACCAAGTCACCTTTGCATTAATAAAGAAATTTGCCATTTTCCTAATAAAGGGATTTTTGACATTTGAACCACTAACACAAAAGTTCGAAAAAAAGACTGAAATAACAGTTTTCTCTAAAATTTTATTGGGTAACTTAAACAATTAATAATCCGTATTTCTACCGCGAACACTAACAACACAAGAACATCGGTTTGGCATACTCAAAATGAGTTCATCCAAATCACGCTGTGGAATGGCCGCCCATGTTCGTTGCAACAACAAAAAAAGGTCTTCTTGCGACTGGATACCCTCCATATTCGGCAGAGCTCTTCTCTGTAGCATATCCCATGCATGCTCAATCGGGTTCAAGTCTGGCGACTGAGCAGGCCAGGGCAGGACATTGATGTTAGCTGCGGCGAGAGTCTGTCTTACAACTCTTGCGGTGTGCGGTCGTGCATTATCATGCATTAACTGAAATAAGGGACCGATTTGCACTTGTAGAGGAACGATGACGTCTGATACAATCGTCTCAGCATAAATTTGAGCGTTGAGGTTGCCTCTGATCCAAATCAACTCAGTTCTTCCGCCGATCCAAATACCCGCCCATACCATGATGGTTCCACCACTATAAGGATGGACTTCCTGGCAGGATTTTAATCGCTGTTGGCGTCCAGGGGTTCTCCAGTGTCGTATACGTCTTGTATCCGGTCTCATACCAAAACGAGACTCATCAGAAAAGCACACGAAACGCCATTGTTCTTCTGCCAAATTTCTGTGTTCAAGAGCCCATTGATATCGAATCCTACGATTGTGCATTGCTATAGGTGGTACCCGTAGCGGTCTTCGGGAATGAAGGTTCACTTCATGCAAGCGGTTTCTGACTGTTTGGTCGCTAATTAAGTTCCCTGAAGAGTGATGAAGCCTCACGGCTAACATCATGGCGGTTATTGTTGGAGCTCTTCGAGTTAAGATTTGAATGTATCGGTCTTGTCTCCGTGTGGTGCAGCGATACCGTCCTCCATGGCGCTTAGCCACGGTACCAGTGCTTCGGTATCGTGTCCAAAGTCGACTGATAACACTCTGACTTGTATTCAGAGCTAAAGCCACAGTACGTTGCCGGGAACCAGCTTCTATCATTCCCACGGCTCTGAGCATTTCTTCCCTGCTTAAATGACGTCGCCGCTCCATAATAACGTTGGTTTTAATCAGTAGTAGGGAAACAGTAGCACTAATAATGTCTTCAATGCGTTGTATGTTTTTATAGGGAAAATATTGACAGCTGATTTTCATCTTTTACTCGAATTTGATTCACAGTTCCTGATTCAAATTATGAAATGCACCAAAAAGGATCCATATAAATTTATAAAATCATAAATTTATTACAAAGCCACATCTCAATCTCAAGAAATCCGCATAAAAATGCTTGATCCCTAGACACTTTTGATGTGTGTACAGATCACAGACAATACACTTGCGCAATAGACGTTTTTGTATGTAAAATTACTAATGCGCAGGCTTCCTTGGCTACGGTCGTTGATCCACAAGTTTGCCGAGATGTATAGCAGTGAGAAAACTATTAATAGGTCTTTACTTATGAAGTTGCCGTTATTCATGAAATAAGTTAACACTATTTTTTTTCTATATTTTAATTTTTATTAATCATATTAATTACCCATGCAAACAATGCATTTTTGCCAACGTAGCGAAAAAAAGAGAAAATTGGACTTGGAATAGCCAGAACGGCAGAACGGCAATTTCATAGGTAAAGACCTATTATTTGAGGCGAGGGTAGTTTCCCATTAGGGCGTCTCGATTCAAGCGGTTAAGCTGCTGTGCTATAATTGTCTTCAAGCTAAATTTCATTCCCATACGTGTTTTTCATTTTACCCAAAGGTTGACTGGGAGAAAATGCTTTTAGCATTAAGTCCGCCTTTGTACATTGTTATATATTTTGGTCAATAAAGTTTAAAATAAATAAATAAATAAAATTTACTGTTGGTCCAGCAGCCGTCTTAGCGGGCTTGGCGGCAGTTTTGACGGCGCCTGCCTTCGCAGCGGCTAGTTTGGCGGCGGCGGGGGCTCGCGCGGGCGCCGGCGCTGCCGCCGCGGACTTGGGCGTTGCTGCTGCGGGGGCTGCCGCGGGCTTAGCCGGCGCTACACCTGTTACATTCACCTACCGACAACATTCGCTAGTGTTATGTACGATTCTCACTTAACGGCGCGCGTCGGAGCGCAGCGCAACGCTTATGACAATTTGCTGAGGAAATTGAAACATCCACAAAGTACTTCAGTTCCTTATTTGCTTCGGCAAGCACGTTAAAGCGTTGGTCCCGGCTGTATATGCAGTCGTGCAATGGGCCCGCCTGCAATCACCCTATTCCATCCAAAGGGAGCCCTAAAGATTTATAGGCCGATGATAATGATTTGATAAAGAATACTGTTTGCCTCACTTGGAACAGCGGCTGCTGAGCTTTGACGGCGTCTCCGTCCTTGACGAGCATCTTGACGATGGTGCCGTCGCCGGGGGACATGACCGGCAGCGCCGTCTTGTCCGTTTCTATCTCCAGGACCACCTCGTCCATGGCCACCGCTTCACCCTCCTTCTTTATTATCCTGTAACCAATCATTTAATAGAGGAGCTTGATGGCGCAAGTGCTTAGCGCGTTCGGCTGCGGTCGTTGAAGTAAAGCAACTTTCGCAGTGGTCGGTCATTGGATGGGTGAACAAAAATTTACTATTTTGAGCTCCTCCGTGCTTTGGAAGGCACGTTAAGCCGTTGGTCCCGGCTGCATCTACAGTCGTTAGTACCCTCCAATGCGCACTGGGCCGCGTGGTGGGTCGCGGCTCAAACTGCCAATTCCATCCACAGGGAAGGCCTGTGCCCCAGCAGTGGGAACGTTAATAGGCTGATGATGATGATGAATCATAAAATATACAACTCAAAGATACAGTGGCATTACAGCAAGCGTCTGCCTGAAAAAAGTGCTGCAATATTTCGACCACAGGGACCGAAAGCCTTCCGATAATCTCTTATGATCTGAGTTTTTTACGTTTGAGGGACTCTTGTCCTCCGCGAGCAGAAGTCTCTCAATCACGAAAAAAATGTCCGCCAAGGACTTATCACGGACTCAACGCACACGGTGTGTGAATATTTGTTGCCCGAAAATTGGGAAAAGCGCACGCTATGTAAGTAAATAAATATTTTCATATTGCGTTGTATTGTAATTAACATGAAATTTAAAAAAATGAGAAGAAAATTTGAAAGATAATACTGGGTTTTTAAATCGGATCAAGAGCGTAACGTGGACTTAATTTCGCTGTGGCCCTTGGTGCACCACGAATCGAACTTTGTATGGGAAACCCATTTTTCTACGCAGATATTGAAATTTTAATAATTTTAACTTAATCTAAAGAAAATTTTACTAGAAAAAAATCCATGCGGACAAGGCAGCAGACGGGACTCGAACCCGCACCCTCTGCTATCCAGGCGAACTGTAAAGGTACTCATTTGACATTGTGAGTTACCCACAATGCGAAAGATGGCGCTGGCTTGCAGCCTAAAAAATGTAAGAGAAAATCCGACACGGAAAATTCGGACCGCTGCTGCATAATGGTCACTGCATCAAATTTTCTTTAGATTGAAACATCTAGCAGTTAAATACTTAAAAAATAATATTATAATTATGATTTTATTTATTCTTTAAGCATTTAACTGCTAGATGTTTAAATCGAAAGAAAAGTTTACTAGAAAAAAATCCACGCGGACCAGGCAGCGGACGGGACTCGAAACCGCATCCTTCGCTATCCGGGCGAATGCACTGACCATTATGCTACCACGGCCCTATTAGCCGCGTCGAAATTTTCCTAGCCTTAAGCTGCAAGGCAGCGCCATCTCTTCGCATTGTAGGTAACCCACATTATAATAATCTAATTTTGACTCACTTGACGTCTCCTGTTGACACGGAGTCTGGGAAGTTTGGCGCCTTCACTTCCTCCACACCACGTAGTTGCGGACTCGATGCTATGCCCCTCTGCAGCGATAGACATCCTCTCCGAATAACCAATTTGTAATCTCTGTGGCAGCTGTAATGACATGAATAGGTTGATAACGTTAATGATTTTCAGAAAACTACATGGGTACCTCGTTTTGGTGAACCCTAATATTATGTCTATGTCATAATAATGCCTTTGCCAATTCATACAATCTGTCTATGGTTACTCTATTATCTGTGTCTTCTAAGAAATAGAACAATCTGCGAAAAATATGCAGATTTTCTTTAAATGTGTTTTTATTTAATAACTTTCAAACTAGTGCAGTTAACATAAAAATAAGGCAGTGGTTTCGTTATAGGCAATAAAAAAAAGGTTATATTTTTTTTATTTTTAAAGCAGTTTTTTTTATTTTTAAAACATCAAGCAGTTCCATCTGCTTGATGTTTAAATCTAAAGAAAATATGACTAGAAAAAATTCCACGCGGACCAGGCAGCAGACGGGACTCGAACCCGCACCATTAAGAATGGCTAGAAGAATTTCGACGGGGTCCGTGAGGGCCGCGGTAGCATAATTGGTCAGTGCATTCGCCCGGATTGCGAAGGGCGCGGGTTCGAGTCCCGTCTGCTGCCTGGTCCGCGTGGAATTTTTTCTAGTTATATTTTTTTTAGATTTAAAAGGTTATGAGTTGAAAATGAGCAATATAAATAACCATCTACCACAGATTAAGGCGGATAATTATACTGCATAGAAATTCCGGGTACGAGCGCTTCTTGAAGAGAAGCAAGTGCACGAGGTACTTACTAAAGACCACATAGAAATTAATGAAAATGAAGAACTAAAGAAAAATAATGCAACTACTAAGTCGATTATATGTTATATTAAAACGGAGAAGCTGTTTAGCAGTCTGCGCGGCTTACGAGCGCTTACGGCATACTATTCGCTAAAAGAACCTGCGAATACCCTCTACGCTGCTAAGTGCGGAACCGCGAAATCCCCGTTGAGGGACTTCACCGCGTCTCCGCACCCAACAGCCTCCCGGCCTAGCCACGGCGCCACGGCAGGCATCACCCGGGGCACGGTAATATTATATATTACTAGCTGTCCCAGCGAACTTCGTACCGCCATAAAAAATAGGGGTTGGTGGTAGAAGGGTGAAAATTTAGGGTTGTATGTATTTGTGTATGATGTATCATAAAAAAAATATTTTTTTTTATCTAAAATTGAAAAAAAAAATTAGGGGTGGATTACCCTTAACATTTAGGGGGATGAAAAATAGATGCTGTCCTATTCTCAGACCTACCCAATATGCACACAAAATTTCATGCGTATCGGAAAAGCCGTTTCGGAGGAGTTTAACCACAAACACCGCGACACGTGAATTTTATATATAAGATTACCGTGCCCGGGGTATTTGGAGAGCTGCCGCAGACGTGCACAGTGTCATGGATCCACGTAGAGCATGATAAAACTATTTGTTATGTATATGCTCTTTTTAGTGATTCGGTTTTATATATTTTTTTTGATAGCTATCAAGAAGAAAAAGAATATTTTTTGTTTCCCATTGAATTTAATTTGGTTTTTTGTGATCTTTAATATAGTTATTTTATCCCAAAGGACTATTTTATTTTATTAGTGTCTTGGGCAAGGCGTAAGCCAGGTAATCATCCAAAAGAACCTGGAAGAAGCGAACAAATTCTTCACACACAGGACTGCCCGCGCTGGGAGCTAAGTGCGTGGCCTATTGCACATTACCTACTTAAAAGCTTTATATATAGAGTACGGTAGCAGATATAACGAACAACAACAAATTAATGAACCTAACACTTAAAATACTTACACTATTAACTTCACTGGGCCTTTAATTTGAAAATGCCGCGTATGTATATTGCTGGCGCGCTGTACTGTGTTCTTACTGTGTACAACCTTTAATAAATAAAAAAGTAAGTTTTAAACTATGTACTTCCAAAATTAAATATTATTTCTATTCAGAGTTACTGAGAAGCGCGTTCAATGTTCAACCAAACAAACAAACTCTTCAGCTTCATATTATTATAGATACCTATATAATATAAGTATAGATTTACTCACAACTGGAATAATCAAGCGTCTGAGCATTATAAACACTTTAATTTTAATAAAAAATAGCGTTATTACAATAAAGCAAAGTCATATTAGAAAATCATTTTTTGACAAACATTGAAGTCCCTTTTTCAAAATGACGTTTCCTTTTATTCTTCTATTATGTAGGCGGGTTATGTTTCGTCTGTATTTATGGCGAAACTAGCGGCCCGCCCTCGCTTCGCTTCGGTGTAGAGCTGAAGTGTAGACTACAGTTTTTGTTCTCAGACTTGTATTATACACAATGACATTCATCTATGATTCTTCTCATACCTGTATGCAAAGGCGAGGGTTTAAAATTGACAAAGTTTCATACAAACTTTCATTCCCTATTTTATCCTCTTGGGGGTAAAATTGATCAAAATCCTTTCTTAGCGGATGCCTACGTCTTAACATCTACCTGCATGCCAAATTTCAGCCCGATCCGTCCAGTGGTTTGGGCTGTGCGTTGATAGATCACTATGTCAGTCAGTCAGTCATATACACACATCAAAAGTGTCTAGGGATCAAGCATTTTTATGCGGATTTCTTGAGATTGAGATGTGGCTTTGTAATAAATTTATGATTTTATAAATTTATATGGATCCTTTTTGGTGCATTTCATAATTTGAATCAGGAACTGTGAATCAAATTCGAGTAAAAGATGAAAATCAGCTGTCAATATTTTCCCTATAAAAACATACAACGCATTGAAGACATTATTAGTGCTACTGTTTCCCTACTACTGATTAAAACCAACGTTATTATGGAGCGGCGACGTCATTTAAGCAGGGAAGAAATGCTCAGAGCCGTGGGAATGATAGAAGCTGGTTCCCGGCAACGTACTGTGGCTTTAGCTCTGAATACAAGTCAGAGTGTTATCAGTCGACTTTGGACACGATACCGAAGCACTGGTACCGTGGCTGAGCGCCATGGAGGACGGTATCGCTGCACCACACGGAGACAAGACCGATACATTCAAATCTTAACTCGAAGAGCTCCAACAATAACCGCCATGATGTTAGCCGTGAGGCTTCATCACTCTTCAGGGAACTTAATTAGCGACCAAACAGTCAAAAACCGCTTGCATGAAGTGAACCTTCATTCCCGAAGACCGCTACGGGTACCACCTATAGCAATGCACAATCGTAGGATTCGATATCAATGGGCTCTTGAACACAGAAATTGGGCAGAAGAACAATGGCGTTTCGTGTGCTTTTCTGATGAGTCTCGTTTTGGTATGAGACCGGATACAAGACGTATACGACACTGGAGAACCCCTGGACGCCAACAGCGATTAAAATCCTGCCAGGAAGTCCATCCTTATAGTGGTGGAACCATCATGGTATGGGTGGGTATTTGGATCGGCGGAAGAACTGAGTTGATTTGGATCAGAGGCAACCTCAACGCTCAAATTTATGCTGAGACGATTGTATCAGACGTCATCGTTCCTCTACAAGTGCAAATCGGTCCCTTATTTCAGTTAATGCATGATAATGCACGACCGCACACCGCAAGAGTTGTAAGACAGACTCTCGCCGCAGCTAACATCAATGTCCTGCCCTGGCCTGCTCAGTCGCCAGACTTGAACCCGATTGAGCATGCATGGGATATGCTACAGAGAAGAGCTCTGCCGAATATGGAGGGTATCCAGTCGCAAGAAGACCTTTTTTTGTTGTTGCAACGAACATGGGCGGCCATTCCACAGCGTGATTTGGATGAACTCATTTTGAGTATGCCAAACCGATGTTCTTGTGTTGTTAGTGTTCGCGGTAGAAATACGGATTATTAATAGTTTAAGTTACCCAATAAAATTTGAGAGAAAACTGTTATTTCAGTCTTTTTTTCGAACTTTTGTGTTAGTGGTTCAAATGTCAAAAATCCCTTTATTAGGAAAATGGCAAATTTCTTTATTAATGCAAAGGTGACTTGGTTTATCGTTACTGTGACAAACGAAAACACTTTATTTGATGAATCCTTAAAGAAAATTTTAATTAATATCAATCAGGAGAAAAGTTATTGCAAAAATATATGTTGATCCCTAGACACTTTTGATGTGTGTATATAGATTATTATGTGGCAAATAAGCGTATGACCCGGCTGATGGTAAGCGGCCAACATGGCATATGTTTAAGCTTTCGATACCAGAAATATTGAGCCGTTGTCTACCCAATCCTATCTATCAATATCTCGTGGAGCCCTGCCCCCTAGCATGAACAACACGATATGATATATTTAGACGCGATAAAAAGCGTGATATAATGTAAATTGTGGTGCTCATGCCACAGGGACTGGAAGCTTACTCACTGACAGAAACATAACATCACCAAAAGGTAGTCTTATTTGACTGTGATCTTCAGTAAGGTGTAAAGGTGAGTTCCCCATACGGGCGCTCCAATTAAAGCGGAAAGCCCGCTATGCCCTATCTCTCTTTAATTTATGTTTGTGTGTGTGGGATTTTTTTTCAGATTTATAAATCGAGCAGTTTCATGCTTAAAAATAACTGTACAAATATATATTTAATGCTCACATATAAAAGAATGCAATAGTAAATATGTATATGGGTGCAACTGTACAATTATATAATTTTAATGCTTACATACAAAAGAATACAATAGTAAATATATATATGGGTGCCTAATAGTTATCTTTCTTTTCCCTTCTAGAGAACCATCAATACATCTAGTAAAAATATCTTTACGTTTATAAATCTAGCACTTAAATGTTAAGGAATACTATAACATACTTACGTGTAAAACTTACTTTTGTAATAATTAAGCGTTTTATAAATCAGTTTTTTATTATTTTCTTCATTAAAATTTGCAACTAGTACTTCTACATTATAACAAATTTGTGAAATTTAATAAGAATGTAAGAACTTAATATTGCTGAGATTTGTTTGAGAACGGAGTGGCAGAACTTGGTTCTTTAGAAATTGGTCCATGGTATGGTGTAATAGTGAAATAAAAGATTTCTTGCCACGAGGCAATGCCTACACTAGTTCAAGCATGGAACATACGGTTCAAGAGTATTTCTACTCGCCAATAGATGGCAGCACACGTTTCAATTCTGAACCGAGACGAGACCACCAATAAGGGCTATCCTCGGGCTATCGCATATGAATCCGCCGCTAGAGGCGTTTGTGTAGCGTGAGGACTCCGAAATGTCAAATGTTATTGCTTGTAGGTTGACTACGCGGGTTTATTTCTTATTAAAATTATGCTGTGAATATTTGGTCTAAACTCCGATTAATTATCACAAATATGACTTACGTGTCAATGAATGTCAGTGATTTAACAGCGGAGCTAAGCAAAAATATTATGTTCTCCTTTTTTCCGAACAAAACGGAACTGCGCAACACTGTGGCATGGTGATTACGTTAACGATACGATTCCTTTGTATTAAAATACGATTTTAATGTAAACATTGATTTCATGCGCGTATTGATAAACTTAAAAAGCTACACTTCAGGACCTTACACAATAGTGGTGCCATCTGGTGACACAAAAAACGGTAGTCCTCATACTTTGCGACTTTAATATCCTGTTTTTCCTTGAACATATTTGTTAATAAGTAGTTATTATATAGTTACACAGTTACTGCAACGTTAATAGGAAAATCATAACATTAAAAAAATACCGCATAAGAAATTGAGATGTTATTTTCACACTATCTTTTATAAAATTATCATAAAATTACGAAACATTAAATATTTATTTATTATATTAATAAACTAAACTAATAAAAATTAATAAATTCTTCGATGAATTCCAATCATATATTTAACTTTTACATTTATAAAATAATCTAGTAGAGTCTGTGCGGAAAGAGAATGGGATTTAGATTGGAGGGCGCTGTAGTGCTTTTCTACAGTATTTGTAAGGTTTTACCCCTTTTAGACATGATTAAATACAAAAAACCGCGAGAAATCACAACAACAAACAAATCCGTATCAATACAAAACATTGACGTTTTACAGATTGCTGGGTTTGATTGCCAAGTAAAAATCTTAATGTTAGTTCTGGTTTTCGCCACGCCCATTCTCTTTCCGCACATACTCTACACTACATTTTCCAGCAGATGGCTTTTTATACGTTGTTAAGATTGTGCCACTGAGAGTTTAGAAGTTAAGAATGACGGGCACCATGTTGCAGCACTGAGACGAAGGAGACGACACTCTATTCATCCTTCAAATCACGTATAACTTTATACTCTATGGATCAATATAAATGCTCGTGCGATTAGTTCGCGCCAAAAACTTTATACAAAAGACGTCACATCACTGTGGCGCCAACTGGTGATGTAAATTTTTACAACCTAATTCCGACGAAGCTATTTTAACTCATTGTCCGCGCTTGGTTTTGAACTATAGAAAATGCTTCGAGGTAAGTTAGCTGTTTTCGCAAATTGTTTACGATAGGTAGAGCATACATAACGGATCCTCGCTCGAATTGAAGCGTCCATATCCGAAGAATAAGCTTCATCTTACAGAAGACCATAGTAAAATCTATATCTTTATATACATAATTCTTCTGTGAGTGTGTATGTCACTGAACTTCTCTTAAACGACTGGACCGATTTTGATGAAATTTTTTGTGTGTGTTCAAGGGGATCTGAGAATGGTTTAGATTCACAATTTTGTCCGCTGGACAATGTTTTTTTAATTAAATTTTTTTATGGCGGTACGAAGTTCGCTGGGTCAGCTAGTATATATATAAAACTCAAAGGTGACTGACTGTCTGACATAGTACCTATCAACGCACAGCCCAAACCACTGGACGGATCGGGCTGAAATTTGGCATGCAGGTAGATGTTATGCCGTAGGCATCCGCTAAGAAAGGATTTCGATCAATTCTACCACCAAGGGGTAGGGAATAAAAAAATAGGAAATGAAAGTTTGTATGAAACTTTGTCAATTTTAAACCGATCGGGCTGAGACTTTGCATGCACGTACGTATAAGAAGAATCAAAGACGAATGTCATTGTGTATAATACAAGCCTGAGAACAAAAACTGTAGTCTACACCGAAGCGAAGCGAGGGCGGGCCGCTAGTTTTTACATAAGGTGGTGTTGTGTTTAATTTGGTGAGTAAGGTTCCAGGGTTTCATGGGCGGCACTTTATTGACGCACCAGCTTCGTA